CAGGCAATGGTTTACACATTATACATCTGCGCGAACTCTCGCCACCACATGTTCTTCTTGAACCACCGTTTTCAAACACTCAATGGACAGTAAGCTGCTTGCTTCCTACTATACATATAATGTTTACATATATTGATAGATTTCATTTCAAACAAATGCACAACCAGGTAAAAATCCATATCACAGTAATGAAATCCGTATGGCATAGTGTGAAGTAACAGAATCATGTATTACTCAGTCATTTATGGAACGGTAAAACAGTCATAATCTGATGGCTGCTTTCTATTTTTGAAACCTTGTGAGAAAGACATTTGAACGCTTGTGAGAGGTATCTTCAGAATGCACCCGTTTGTCCTGCTTAATCAGAATCACATCGTTTATTCACACGAGTGCCTATTTGCATTTGCACAGTCAAAAAGCACACTAATAGTTTCTTGCTTATAGTTTTTGACAATAACTGATCAGATGCTGAACGTCTCTATGAAACTAATGATATTGGAAAACAAGATAGAAATCTTAGAGAAAAATAGTAGATTTTTACAAGCTCAGATTGCAGCAGAAGTATTAATATATCCACACCGATACAGACCTCGAAAACCATGAGTTTTATGAACAAAGAGATCAAGCGACCCAGGCCGTTACGAGATCGGTTTTGACCAAAGCTTCAAATCAAGAAACACGTAGCTTATATATGTATGCGATTCTTTAACATGTCTTCATCACAACTAATTCGACCCAAGACTTGCATGGTTTACTCTCCTCATTCGTCAAATCTTTGTGTTTCTCGAGATTCATCTAATAGTGAGAAAACTGATTGAAAACTCTTAGAATGCCAAGCAGGGACAAACATTTCTTTTATACCGACTTAATTAAGTTAAAGTTGTTTTTCTACTTAACATTTTCTTCACTTAAAATTAAATTGAAGCTAATCCGTTTGGAACACGTCATTGCATTTCAAGTTTTTCTTTACTTCACTACGGACTCATCATTGTTTTGTGCACACCATAGAGAAGAGGATCCTAGTTAATTTTCAATCAGCCCTAATAAAACAATTTTTTGTGCTTAGCATAGAGGAGAAGAACTCTACTGGAATCTGATTAGTTCAATGTTTGTTCTATTATCCAATGAGATTTATTCTAGATTTTTCTGCTCTTTTGTAAGGGCGATGCCTATTGTTGTTCAGACCGATCAGCAATTAGAAAGAATCCTGCTCTATATGGTCCAAACTACGCCAAGGTGAGTCTATATTGGGGTAAAGAAAAACTCGAAATTAAACGATATTTCCTTTATTTATGCAATTCACTTGAACTTAATTGTAGACTAAGTTAAATGATCCATTCCTAGTGCTATCTAAGACTGAAAATGAAGTAAAAATTCCAACAGAATCTGAGAGTTTGTCAGTGGGTAGAC